TTGACAGATAATTGGCGTTAAAAGCACCCAAGGCTATTTCTCTTTATTAGTCCAGGCTGTAACTTTAAAGGTTTTTTCACTGCCTTACCAACTTCCCTGAGTTCTTGCATGTAACTGCTGGTGAGTTTGGGTGCTCTGGGTGCAGCAGCATTCCCACCGTTTTTAACATTCAGCCACAGATCATCACACTTTTTTTTTTTTTTTTCCCCCAGTATTTTGGAAATTTCTCAATATTTTTCCCTCACAGTGATGTCACCGTCTCACTGTGTTTTGCCATGCACATGTAGCTCAATATAGGAACCCCGCCTGCAGTTTGTGTTCATGGGGAGTTATCCATCAGTGGGTCCATCAGCTTCATACAAAGATGACTGCAAAAGCACTGGACCCACGTGGTCCTCAGGTGTTTAGTTACAGCACTGGGGACTTGATGGGTCCCCAGGTATCCAGGACTAGGACCTGATGCTTCCCACAGGTCTCAGCCTCTCTTGCCTCCTTTCCCACAACTGCGTGCCCTGTACTCTACCAGATGGTGCCTTCCAGAAAGCAACAGGCTTTTGCCTTCCACGCTGAACATGTTTCCATTACTGCTACATTAAAAAAAAAAAAAAAAAAAAATGCAGGTTGTGTTTAATTGCCTCATTTCCATCTAGTGCTTTCAAATTTTCAAGTACCTAGAAGCCAGAGGAGTCATATGCAAACCCCAGAGTGCTGCGCAGCCACTATTAGATATTGTAGTGACATTGCTTAGAAGAAAATAAAGTACCAATATGATTAGAGTGAGAGAGATGTCAGCACTGAGAAAACCAACAAAACCATAGAAATGGCCACAGAGCTGGGAAAGGTCTATACTTAAAATAACCCAAATATGGGAGTATCTTTGTCTCTTAGAGTGTAAATTTGAGGGATACAGAAAGATAGGTCTTTCAAAGTTATAGTTCTGGGAAGTGGGAGGTACTTTTGTTATCTCTCGGACACGTGATTAAGAACATATAGAAATAATATTGAAAATAGGGGTAACTTCATGTTTTCTCAAGTCAAGGTTTTAATAGTTAGAGAGAACATAATAATCAGAAGTTTCCCAGGTTTATCCTCAGCCCAACTCTGTTAAAGCTTGCAAGGCCTACTTCAGGAGGCCAGTTTGTTGAGCTGTCTTTCAGGGTGCATCCTGCCTCTCTAGCTCAATTCCAATGGAGAATTTTTATACCACATTTCTCACCCTGCCTATGGGGAAGGGAAATGCCACCATGGATCAGGCCTGGGTTTGAGAAAGAAGAAACGCGCTGCCATGGTGCCACCGCAAGTGGGATGAGAGATGTGTCCAGCAGGAATTGTTTCCTGAAACACCAAGAGCAAGGCGAGAAGGGAGGAGGCAGGATACACAATCCAGAAGCAAAAGGAGATGCTGAGCCCAGCCAATGCTGTTGGAGGCTCTTGCTGAGCAAATAAAAATATTGATGGATTTTGACTTCTTTTATTAAGCCAAGGTTATTATATATCAGTCTCCAGTAATACAAAGCACAAGAAAAAAAAAATGTTTATGCAAAGTTCCATGATTATTTATCTACTGTCTTGGAGAGTTAACTAAATTGAATTTTTATCAAACTCAACTTCAGTCAGGAAGTAATCATGATCTTATAATCATATGGATTAATTCTCCCCATTACTGCGTGGAATAATAAGTATGCCAATCATAGATTATAAAGCACCTGGGCAAGACTCTCTTTCACTTATCATTTATAATTCAGAATGTCTGCTTGATTAAACAGCATCCTCCCATAGTCAGTGATTGAGTTTTCTCAGAAATTTTTGCTAAACATGAATAAGCCTATCCCGGTGGAAGGTCATGATTCTAGCGCTTTGATTATAATGAATCAAGCAGAGATTGAATTAAGTAGACAGTGTTTAATATACATATTTACATTTTCAGAGGCCTCTTCCTCTCATGGTGGAAACTGTTGATGGAAATATCTTCTCTTGCCACTAAGTGGAGCTCCTTACATATCTATCGGTACATTAGCAAAACTGGCTGTTAGTGAGATGGCATCTTGAGGCATTTTGCAGTGGCTGCTTTGTGGACCCCCAGTGCTAAGGAAGCTACTAGATGGTTCTCTAAAGTGAATTGTGCTAAACAGGGATATGGAAATTTTACTGTGCCTCAGGAGAAGGCAGTAGTGCAATCATTTGTTAGAGGACTGGGCTATTCTAATATATTCTAATGTACTGCGGTTTGGAATTTTTCATTTTGATCATAGGCATCTTTCCCTCTGTTAAACTTTTCTTTGGAGAGATACTCCTTGGTAATTTGTACAGCTAATTTATCGGGGGAAAAAAAAAAGGAGTTGCTCTTTGTGGAAGGGTGCTGCATTACAGATACTGTGTGCAGATCTGAGAGCGGAGCATGCTGTTGTGTTTTCACTGGGGGAATAATTAAAATTGAGTGCCTCCTTGAGCAGTCAATTATCACAGAGTAGCTAGATGAAAGATGAAGAACAGCTGTAATCGTATTTTTCAAATAATGGAACAATGTGTGCTTCAAGTCGTCTAGTCTGGAATATATATCGGTCTTTCACAGCAGGTGACCATACCATTTCTAGTTCATATAACTTCTTTTAACACAGGTGTAGTGGAGGTAGAGGCTTGGCCATAGAAAATGTTCTGTTTTGTGTGCATGATAGCATACACACTTCAGATTGTGAAGCTTACACTTTGAAAGTGTGGAGAGAGGGAAATGGGATCAGACCCAGAAATGGGCTGCAGAGCAACTGGGAAGAGCGTGAAGAGGAACTTGAGGCAGCAGCAAGAGGAATGATAGAAGTTTAGAAGGAAAGATATCGCACAGGGAAGCTAGATAGGAACATATGCTCTGAGTTCACTTATGCACCTTGAGGTGGGACTTATACCTTCTTTTCTCCCCTCCCCTCCTTATAGATGAGGTCAGATATAAGCAGACATTTTTAGTCACCTAAGTGTCAGCATCCCAGGAGGATTCTCCTGGGATTTTGTCCCAGACACTTACATGTTTGCAGACACTTGAGGGCCTTTCCCTATGACTGGAGGGCAGGGATCAGGCATGTTCAGAGCATGCAGCAATCTCAGAGGGACAAAAACAGTGAGGGAAATCAAAAACTGTTTTATCTTTGCTGTGGCATTTCTCATACTCTGTCTTCTGGACTCATTCCTTCTTTTGAAAGGAAAAAGTCAATGCTGAGGGAGGGGACAGACAGAATAGCAAGTGGCTTCATTGAAAAGCTGAACTACTACAAAACCAAGCATCAACAGTTGAAAAAGTGATTAAAACAAAACAAACCAAAACAAGAAAATTAATTTTCCCCAGTTTTCATACCGGCTGTTCTCCACCACTTCTCAAAATACGGAGAGCTGCTAAAATTAATTCTCAGAAAATAAAGGAAAGCAAAGTATATCTATTTTGATGGAATAGGCTGGAAATAGTCTGGATGTAGAGACACAGTTTGGGAAACCTTGACAGAGTGAATATAGGGAACTCATCAGAACGCCTGTGTTTCGAAGTCCTGTACTGGGATTGACCATTAAGCCAGAATCCACGCTATTCATTTATCAAAGAAACAAAGATCATGAGAAGCATCATAGCAGTGCACGCAAGACTTGGTGGGATGGAAAGAAATGGACAATCTTATAGTGTTGATAGGGGAGACAGCAGGAGATGAAATGGAGAGGAGGTGAGAAATGCAGTGGTGTCCCCATACTTGAGGTTATTGTAATCAGGATGAAAGAAACCGCCAAGTTATGGATTAAATAAGCAATTTCTGAATTTGCTTTCTCAACCAGCATCTTCAACTATTTAAAGTATGACTGCACTGCAAAGGAGGCAGAACAGCTGGGAATAACATAATATTTCTTTCCTCCTCCTTTTCAAGCCTCAAATCCAAACCACTTGATAATTCAGCTTAGCTAAATAAGCATTTACCTCTGCAGAAAGATTTTTGAGTCATAATGGAAGTGAATTAGATTATAAAAGATTTGCTAGAGGAGAATTTAAAATCACCTGACAATTCATTTGCTTTCTAGGGAACAGCAAATTTCTTGTTATCTAAATATCTGTCTCTGAGATTCCCCAACTGTGTAATGCATTTTTTTTTTTTTTTTAGAAATGAGCTGAGTGAACACTTGGAAGGTGTGCTCACAGTGCAAGATATTAATACTTAGTGTTTTAAAAAGCTAAAAAATTTCAAATAACCTCTGAAAATCAAAATTATAGTAGATAGCCTTAGTCCGGTTTTCTTAGTGGTAAGTGAACTGGTCTTACACAAGTCCATGGGACCAGGCAGGAAGCATCTGATGATGCCAAGGGAGCAGATCAGTGTCATTGCAAGGCAGCTCTCTGTCACCCTTAAAGGTTGTGGAAACCAGGGTAGGTTCTTGAGGACTGGAAAAAAAGTAAAGATCACATCCATCCTCAGGAAGGACAGGAGAAGGATTCAGGGAACTGCAGTCAGTCAGCCTGGATGTTCTGTACTGATTTCTGCAAAGCCTTTGATGC